ACTTGGCTGAGGTATTTGCGGTCCCCGGGGCTCTCATGTGTAGGGGGGAGGGGCAATGCCGGATTGGTCACAAGAGGGCTCCCATTTATCATTTAAGCAAGGTGGTGGCCTGCTTGGTGCTTCAGGTACAGATTATAGTGGCTTATTATGACTTAAAATAATCTTGAAAGTTATCTGTTGAAGGGTTCTTCTTTCAAATACTACCGAGAGAATCCCGCAAATGGAGAATTCCTTACTGTCTCCATCAGTCATATCCCAGGACCACATCCAGGCCCCTTGTTTTGTCATTGCCATGGAAATGGGAGGTGACACACTGTGACAATGGATACAAAAGCATAAGCATAGATGTGGAATCCAGGAACACAAGATTGGCCATGTGCCAAAGGGTTTTCCAGAGACAGCAAAGGGCTTTGAGGGAGGGGGGCGGTCAGAGGACGGCAGGGTTCATTATACAGACAGAGTCTTACTGCATGGAGACCAAACACCGCATACATAAGTGTGGCAAAACGCTGGAGGTTCAGATGCCTTAAGCAGAAAGTCCATGGTCAGATGGTTGTGGGAACCAGGAGACCCACTGGGTGCTTCATGGCTTGGGAGAGTCCCAGCCACTCCCATAGCTCTCCTTCACAAAGGACAGCAAGGTGTCTGCTCTGCGTGGTAAGTGCTCTGAGCCTTCTCACCCCCAGCACTGGAGGGAGCAGACGTGGTTAGGCTATGAGGAGTTAGTCCGTGGTGTGTCAGAACAGAGTTAAGAAGGAAAGGCAGAATGAAACCAAGAACTCTCAGGTGCAATGGAGACAAGACTCAGGAGGAAGATTCGGCAACCAGTTTCTGGGTGGGCTTTTACCTCCTCTAAGCTGACTAGCTTACCACAGACATCATGAGATGACTGGATCCAGGTTCCCGTCTCCAACACCAGAAAGAGTTCTAGTATGAGACACAGGTGAAGACTAGCAAAGGACTTACTGTTAGCAAAAGAGGAAGTGTGGGCATGCTCAAGAGTGACCTGTGCCCAAAGGGCTAGGGACCAACCCTGTATATATCTGAAAAGAATGGGGGTGGTGTCTCAGGAAGAGTTCTATTTAGTATTCATAGGGATGGTGTCTTGGCAGGGGTTCGAGTACTGCCTGTTTCCTTGCCTGTTTTTTGGAAACTTGAGTTGTCATGGCATCAGGTACAGGATGGGAGTAAGAGTGTTATCACGGGGCCAATGCTGTGGTGTAGTGGGTAAAGCCACCGCCTGTGCTGCCGGCATCATATATGGGTGCTGGTTCAAGTCCCAGCTGCTCCATTTCTGATCCAGCTTCCTGCTAATGGCCTGGGAATGCAGCAGAGAATGGTGCAAATGCTTGAGCCCCTGCACCCATGTGGGAGACCTAAAGGAAGCTCTTGGTTCCCTGGTTTCAGATCAGCCCAGCTCCAGCCATTGCAGCCATTTGGGAAGTGAACCAGTGGATGAAAGATCTCATTCTCTCTCTCTCTCTCTCTCTCTAACTCTGCCTTTCAAATAATAAGTAAGTAAATCTTTTCAAAAAAAGAAAACAGTGTTAGCCACAGTAATTTTATTATAATGCTGCTGCAAATAGCTACAGGTCATCAGGGGACACAGCAGCCACATTGGTGATTTTTGGCCACTACAGGTTCTTGGTGGTAGTTTCACAGAAACTGGTGTTTTCTGCAGAACAAAAAAGGGATGGAAGCTGAATGGGACAGGCAGAATCGCAGGGCGGGACAGTGACCTCAGCTCTACCCTGCTGGCTACCCCTTTGCCTGTATCGTCAGGAGCCAGGAATTCAATCCAGGTCTCCCACACTGGCGACAGAAATACAGTTATGGGAGCCGTCACCTGCTGTCTCTCAGGGTCTACATTCACAGGAAGGTGGAGTCGGGAGTGGAGCCAGGACTCAAATCCATGCCTTCTGGTGTGGGATGTGGGCACCCAAGCACCACCTTAATTGCTAGGGCACACACCTGTCCATATTTCTCTGCATTCTGATTGCTATTATTTACTTCTTTCTGTTTTGGGTTTATCTTTTTCTTCTTTTACTAGTTTCTTAAGGTGAGAAGTTAGCTGTCTAATGACTCTTTTACAAAATAAGACATTTGCAGCTACGATTTCCCTCCAAGTCATATTTTAACTGCTTCCCATTAGTTGTTGTACCTTTTGTTTTCACTTTCAGTCATCTCAAAGTATTTTCTTATTTTCCTTGTCATTTCTTCTATGACCTGTTGACTGTTTAGAAATACACACACACACACACACACACACACACACACATATATAAAGTCATTTCACAATGTTTTTCACATCTTCTATATCATGGTCAATCTTTTTCTTAGTTGTATTAATTACTTAAGGTTAATATTGATCTCTCTAATGTAGACATTCCTTATTTTTTCATTTAATGTGAGACTTTTTGATAGATGCAGGTATATCTACAGTTGTGTTGTCCTGATGGACAGACATTTCCATCAGTGTGAAATGTCCCTCCATTGACAATGTTTTAAAGTCTGTTTTGTCCTTATTAGAGTATCCATCCCGTGCAGCTCTCTTTTGGTTTACATGACATTTTTTAAATGAGGAAATTGAAATTTTTATTGTGTTTCTTATTCACTGTGTAAAACAGCACCAACAAATGCAGTGTATTGCAAAATTGAGACGGTGTTGTTCTTTCTCTGGCACTGTACAGCTTAAAAAACCTGTTCTGTATTCCCAGTTACTTCCAATAGAAAGATCATTACATATTTTGACCCCAATCTGGGGATGGGTATAAGCAAGTTACAATATTACATAAGACTTAGGGTAACAATGTTATCCTTGAATTACATTCTTTTTATAACCAGTTTTCACCACAGGTAACTTCACTACTCTGAATACCACTTTGTGCTGGAGCCCAGTATAGAAAGCACAAGGTCCTGTGAAAACCTGCACGTTGTGTCCTCTGCACTCGGTACACAGTCAGGGGCGTGGTCTCCAGCGGCAGAGTTGAAAGTCGTGTCTCTTCCCATCACTGTTGCTAAAAGTTGCTGGTTTGAGTCCTGTCCACCACTAATTTAAGAGAACTGTGCTGGATTCAGTTATTCCACACCAGTTCACGTGAGGGGTCCACGTCCATTCCCCAATAGCTTTTCTGTAGGTCTCACAGGCTTCCTCACTCACCAGCTCCTCTAGTTCTGAAGGGCTGCCCAGTGTCCTCTTGGTCGGCCATCTTCAGACAGGACGTGTGGACGAGCCCTGGGTTTTCCTCAAGGGCTTCATTCGTTTCAGTTCCTTCTGATCCAAGAGAATGGAGTCACCAGCAGCTTTCACACTTTCCAAAGCACAAACTCATCTTGTTTTCCCAATCGTGTCCCCACTTAGGGCAGTAAACAACAATAAAGAGCATCTCTCAAAGCTTCCCCTGCAAAACTGTTGATTGGCACTGTTCCACTACCACCTTCTGTTGTCATCCATTCATGCCTCTCTGTGCAGTTATGCACAGAAAGCACAGTGGGTCCAGTGCGCAGCGTCTGGCCAGCGCCTGCCTGCGGTCACCAGGCCAGAGGAGGGCAGGGAGCAGTGGGCTCTGAGGCTGCGAGGAGGCTGCGGGCCCTGGCCCTCATGCCCTGCCCACCTGCAGGGCCGCGTTCTGCATTTCTGTCCTACACTTTGTCAACCTGTTTATACCTTTAACTTTTAAGTGTTTCTCCCATATACAGCATAGGTTCATTTTAAGAAATCTAGTCTTACAGTACTCTTTCAATTGCATTGTTTAATCTGTTCACATTTATAATTTTTAAGATTTATGTATTTGAAAGGCAGAATTACAGAGAGAGGGAGAGACAGGAGAAACAGAGTGCTCTTCCATCTGCTGGTTCACCCCTCAAATGGCCGCAATAGCCTGGGCTGGGCCAGGCTGAAGCCGGGAGCCAGGAGCTTCTTCCAGGTCTCCCACGTGGGTGCAGGGGCCCAAGGACTTGGGTCATCCTGCACTGCTTTCCCAGGTGCATCGGCGGGGAACTGGATTGGAAGTGGAGCGGCCAGGTCTCGAGCCAGCGCCTATACGGGATGCCGGTGCTGCAGGCAGTGGCTTTACCCACTCCGCCACGGCGGCGGCCCCTAGATCCCACTCTTGAAGGCCCTGGGTTTCAGGTGCTTGGACTAAGGCAGCTGTGAGTCCCTCCTGGGTTACACGGTAACGTGTGGGTGATTGTGTAAATCTGTGTCTGAGGCGAGGGTTCAGCATAGATCTTCCAGAGCCAGTTCCCAAAACGGACATGGAGACGTATGCTCCAACTTCAGCTCACCGAGCTCAACTGTTCCCCTTTATTGATGTCAATTTTGTCTATCGGATTTGGTCTTAATTCGCATTTCCCAAATTACTGGAGATACTGCGTTTCATGCTTGTTGCACACCTGGAAATATCCTGATGAAATGGCGGATAAGGTTTCTTGCCCACGTTCCTGCTGGGGCCTCTCTTTTTTCTTATGAAAGTGGCAGTGCACACTTTGACCCATCGCTGCTTCTAGCTGGGCTGGTGCATTGGAGTTTATCTGAGGCACCTTCAGGGGCACACAATGGAAGTCCCAGCTGCTTAACTTTCTGCGCAGGGAGCTTTCTGACATAGACTCTACTCCTGCTAACAACACCCTGGTTGTATGCTGTGTCCGTGAGAGTACAACCTACACCCGTCCTCAAGTACTTCTTTGTCCCGGGGGCTTCCAGCGGGAACTGAACGGCTCTGGGCCCTAGCTCCCTGGTGCCTGTGAAATCCAGGCCTCCACAAAGGGAGCCATGTAATTGACCCACGCTGGGCTCCAGGCCCCTGGGCCCGTGAAGGTCTCAGGCCTGTGTCCCTCTGCCTGATGAACCCAGGGATCAGAAGTTGGTCAAGGGCCCCACAGTGTGATCCTGGCCCCGACCAAGAGATAGAGTCAGGCTAAGGCTTCATCAGAGTCAGAGACCTGGGGTCTGGGGCCTGACTCCCACCCTCCCCCAGCACAGACTCAGCTGAGGCAGGTTGTATCAAATTCTCTCCTTTATTTCCGTCGCCCCCTGGGACAGGTTCAGAGGTGGGGTGTGCTGTGTCTTCCTGGTCTAGGCGGGCACCAGGCCCTGCTCCACGGACGGCGCCAGGGCGGTCTCCTCACGGACTTCTCCAGGTTTGGGAATGGCCTACAGAGACCAGGTTCTGGGGCTGGGGAATCTCCACACCACGCCAGACAGCCCCCAGGCATTCCCAGGACCCACCCAGCCCCCCCGCCCCATCCTCCCCGGCTCTGGGGCTCACCCCCTCTCCTGGAGCAGCCCCCTGCTCCTGCCCGCTCTGGGTCTCTGCAGGGACTTGACCGCCATGCTTTTCCAGCTCCTCCTTCAGCCTGGACAGGAAGGGGTGGGATGAGGGGAGAGCGAAGGAGGCACGGAGGAGACGGGGGATGTAAGGAGACCCAGACAAGGCAGAGAGCAGGGGGGACCGTCCCGTCCAGCGTCCCGGGGGCTGAGGCCGTGCACGGTGCCCCATGCCCACCTCTGCCGCCTCTGCCGCAGCTGCTGGCACTTCAGCTGCAGCTGCTGGTGACGCCGGGCACTGGCCTCCAGGAGCTCCTCGGCCTTGCTGTTCTCTTCCTGGAACAGCTGCCTGTGGGCCGGCAGGGAGGTCAGCACCAGCCAGTGCCACCTCCAGCCCCGGCCCCTCCACATCTTACACGGCTGTTGCGGCCTCCTGGCTGCGGAGAAAGAGTCCCTCGGGGACAGTGGCGGGCCCCTCGGCGCCACACAGGGAGCACAGCTGCCGCTTCACGTCCTGCAGCTTCACCCCGACCAGCTCCTCTGTGGCAGGAAACGTGCGTGAGCAGGTGGGGGCGGGCGAAGGCCACCCTCCTGCCCGTCTCACCTTCCTTGAGGAGCTGCTCCTTGCTGCTGTCCAGGGTGCAGAGCTCCCTCGCCAGTCGCTCCGGCCTCTGAGGATCAGACAGCAGGCCTGTGCACACCTGCGGCCTAGGTTCAGTCACCTCCCCCTGGGCCTCCCCTCCTACAACTCTGTCCCGCCATGCACACCAGCTGCGGTCCAGCCTCAGCGCCTGTACACTGGCCACCCCCTCTCCCAGTGTCCTCCACCTCAGCTACCACAGTGTGGTGGAGGAGGGGCTCACATGACTGACATGGCCCTGGGGTAAATTCTCCCAAGAGAAACCTGCAGATGGCACCATGGGGCTGCTGTCTCATCAGCCCAGCACCACACTGCTGCGCCTCCCTTTCCTGCTCCCTCTAGTGGCCTACTCACTCAACCCTTCTCTGCTTTCATTCTCTGGCTTCCTGTTTGGTGCCTGAGACCACCGGCTGCGTCGGTCCCCCCCATCTGCCTGCGCCCGTCACGGTCCCAGGTGTGTCCGTGGACATCCTCTTCATCAAACTGTGTTTCGTCAGCGAGAAGCAGACGCAGGCGTGCAGCGGGGACGGGTGGGCAGGACGGGCGGTGAGGTCGGTGGGTGGCCGTGAGGGGGCAAGGAAGTGAACTCAGGGTAGTGCTGACATTCGGACCCTCGGGGCGTGCTCAGGAGCTGGGCGTGGCTGGTAAGAGGAAGAGGCCCTGGTGCTGCTGAGAAGATGTGGGAGGCGGGGTGGACGCCCTGAGGGACTCACGTGGGACTCCCACAGGTCCTTGTGCTGGCCCATCAGCTCCTCCAACTGTTCCTCGAAATTCAACCTGGGGGCCAACCACACAGGCAGAAGGGTCCGTGGGCTGAGACCCCGCAGCTTGGCCAAGGCCAGGGGCATTCACGCACACACCTCAGGGGGCTTTGCTCATGCCCTCTGACACCCCAAGGCTCATCAACTCTTCCTCTAAGCCCCAGCCCTGAGGTTACCCCCACGCACAGCCGATCTCAGCGCCCCAGGCCTCGGGTGCTGGGGTTTACCTCAGCTGCCTCTGTTTGTTCTTCTCGTCCTCAATCTGGGAGGTCAGGACGAAAATTCTCTCCTTGTACTCCTGCAACAGGGTGTGCTTCCTGGAGAGACAAGGCACCCTCAGCTCGTCCTGACTCCCTGTGCTGAGGCCGCTCCAGCCCTGTCTGCCGAGGGCTCAGCGTCACAAGTGCACCTGCTCCATGAAGTGCTGCTGCGAGGTCAGGGAGACCCAGGAGCATGGTCAAGGGCTCGTGCACGCGCACACTCACATCATCTTTCTGCAAACTCCCAGTTTCAGTGTGCCCAGGTCTGGGGCGGGGGGGTCTGGTCACATGATATGAGCAAGCATTCAGAAGTCTGCTCAAAGAGTGGGCAATGGGGCAATGGTTTGTGGGATGGACAGGTAATGCATGAGTGGAAAGAGAACAGATGGGGTCAGGCACTGCGGCCTAACGGGTAAAGCCGCTCCTGCAGTGCCGGCATGCTGTATGGGTGCCAGTTCGAGTCCCAGCTGCTCTGCTTCTGATACAGCTCTCTGCTGTGGCCTGGGAAAGCAGTGGAAGATGGCCCAAGTGCTTGGGCCCCTGCACCCGTGTGGGTGACCTGGAGGAAGCTGAGGGGAGGCCCCCTTTGACCCCCACTGTACAGAGGGTCTCAACCTCACCTCCTTTGTACCTCTGCCCCCTCACAACGAGGCTCTCACCTCTGTGCCTCACTCTCCTTCTCCTGGCAGTGCAGCCGGAGGATCCTCAGGGTCTCTGTGGGGAGAACAGGGCCTGTGAGCTCGTCACGGCCCCAGGTCTGCGCAGAGAACAGGACCAGGTCACGTCAGGCCCACGGACACCTGATTGGACTGGTACACGCCACAGGAGGCTGAGGCAGGTGTCTGAAACCTCAGCTGCCAAAGGGAGAGGGGTTTCTCCCAGGCGTGAGAGGCAGAGCTGGAGACGGAGGGCCTGTAAATACCTTGCTTTTTGTTCAGGATCTCCTGCACACGTGCTTTCTCTCCATGCACTAGAAGACACAACAAATGCTCAGGCATCAGGAGGGACCCCACAGACCCCCAGGGATTGGGTGGCCTGCGTCACACGGGTCTGCCTCACCCCCCAGACCCCGCCCCTCTGGTGCCCACCCTCTCTGTAGGCACCAAACAACCCTGACATTTATTAAGGGTGGCTGGGGGGACTCCACGGGATGCCAGTGTCTCTCCTCCCACGTGAAATGGGGTGAGGACATGGAGCAGGAAGGGCATCTGACCAGGTGGGGACAGTGTGGAATCTTTAGGTAGGGGGATCGGGAAAAGCCTCCGAGAAGGGGACGGCTGAGTGACAACCCAGGCAGCAGAGGAATCTGTAGTATCTGGGAGTTGCAGGGCAGCCGGGCAAAGGCCCAGAAGCAAGAGTATGCTGGGGAGGTGTTCCCAGGACGCCCGCACCAGCAGAGGGGAGAGGGAGATACGGGCAGGGCCCGAGGCTGCAAAGGGGCAGGGCTCTTGGCCACGGCATAGATGCCGCAGTACTCGGGTGGGGTAAGCTGGACACTGCAGAGGCCTCCGGCGACGCCCACGTCACATACACACATCCAGTTCCTTCTGCAGGGCTTCCCACACAGTCCGGGCTTCCCCCAGCTCCTCGCTGGCTTTCTTTTTGGCTTCAACAAAGAGCAGAAGGGAGACACTGTGTGAGTACGGCCGGGGCAGCACCACCCTCTTGCAAACATGAACACTGCACGCCTGTTTTCCAGCAAACATGGAGGGGCCTGAATCTTACAGAGGAGGTGACAAGGCTCCTGATAGCACTGTGGCAGGTGCGTGGGGAACGCTCTGGTATTAATTAGTGCTCTGCCGTTGTGCTGTGACTATCTGTAATTTTCAGACGAGGAGCCCTACACATCACACAGCCCCTGCTGCAGGCCAAGGTCCCTGAGCTCACCTTGCTGAACCTCATTAATGCGGTTAATCAGGACCTCGACTCGGGGCTCCAGGCTCCCCACTGCAGGGAGTAAACAGAGATGGAGCTGACACAGCGGGAGGCCATGGTTCCCGCCCTGCCCGTGCTGCTTCCGGTTCACAGACTTCCAGCAGGGCTGTGTGGTCCCCTTACAGCTCACATTCTCGGTGGGAGACAAGAAACAGACAGCTGGAGATCCGGACACAGGGAAAGAGAAGTGAAGTGTGATAACGGGTTATAAAGTGAGGAGTGAGTGTGTGAGTGTGTGTGGGTGTGTGTCAGTGTGTGTGTGAAAGTGTGAGTGTGTGTCAGTGTGCACTGAGTGTGTGTGATGGGGGATGGCACTGGTGCAGCGGGCAAAGCTGCCAGTGGAGACAACCGGCATCCCACGTGGGCTCCACGTCCAGTGTCGGCTGCTTCCGCTGGGCCCAGCTCCCGAATTCACCCGGGAAAGCAGTGGAAGATGGTCCGTGTCCTTGGGCCCTGCACCCACGTGGAGACCCAAGAAGCTCCTGGCCCCTGGCTTTGCACTGGCCCAGCCGTGGCCACTGCAGCCTTTTGGAGAGTGAACCGGCGGCTGGAAGACCTCGCCTGTCTCCCCCGGCCCCGTACCTGGGCCTTTCAAATAAATAAGTGAACTCTTTATAAAAAGTAAGCAAACACCGTGGAAGGAAAGAATACGTGAAAGAAAGCGCTCGGGGCTGAGTCCTCGGCGTGGTGAGCCGTGGGCCTGCACCGAGCCCACAGGCTGACCCTACCCAGGCCGAGCCCCTGACCACGGGACACAGGACCTTTCTGCAGCCTCGCCACCACGTCCATCAGGTCGTCAATCTTCTGTGACTTGTCCTGCCCTGTGGTGCGAAACCACGCCCGTCAGCGTGAAGACGGGGCACAGGAGGGCCCGCCGGCCCGGGCCCAGGGGCACTCCCAGAGCTGCGGCCCCGTCCCTGTGTGCAGCCCTGGGTGGGCAGGACGGACCCTGCGGGCGGGCGACATCCGACAGGGGGCGCGGCGCGGGCGGGGGCTCGGACCTGGCGGGGCTGGGGGCCCTGCCGCCCCCTCCCGTCCTGGCGGCGAGGCGCGGTCTGGGGAACCCCCTGGGAAGCCTGCTTGCGCTCAGGTGAGGACCACGGGGACCGCGAGTCCGCAGGTGCGTCGGGGCCAGGAAGGCGGGGCCAGGCCCGGCACGCCCGGCCGACGCCACCCCACGCCTTCCGCTCTTGGAAGCCGCGACGCCCCCTGCCCAGGGAGGCCCCGCCGCGCTCCCGCCACCTGCAGCCTTCTCGGCGCGGTCCGCGGCGCCCATGGGCTCCACACGCGAAGGCCCGGACCGCGCGGCCATTTCCTCTCAGCTCGGCGGCGCCTGTGCCTCGGCGCCTTGACCGCTGATTGGACGACGCTGACGCCTGCGCAGTGCGCTCAGCGCGCCGTCACCCTTCCGGGCGCCCTGCGCGGCAGCCACTGCGCATGCCTGAAGCTTGGCGCGTGCGGCCTTCTGGGCTTGCCATTGGTCTGTTGAGGAATCAGTCAGTGACTGCGTGTGGAACGGCCTCCCGACGTGGCTCGCGTTGCTGCAGGTGCTCCCATGCTATCTGTGCGGGGCGCGGCTTCATCTCGGGAGCCGCCACTGCTCTTCGCTCAGCACATCGGGGTTTGGCCCTCAGCTCGTGCGGACGTTTACATCCGAAGCTGCGCCCTGGTGGTACAGAGGGTGTGTGGGAGGCGGGCCTAGCGGGAAGCAGTTGTCTCTGGGGACAGGCGGTTCCCCCAGCGCTTGTTGAGTTCCGCGAGCCCCTCGCTGCCTCGGGGCCCGGCGGGCGACCCTTCCTCCGCACGCCCTCTCCCATCGTCTTCCCCCTCCCCGGCTGCACGGGAGCGGGGAGCTGGGGTCGGGACCTTAGCTGGATGCTCCCGTCACGGACACCTGTTAGCCCTGCTCCGAACATGGTCTTCCAGCACCCTCACCCTGGAGGTTTAAGTGCCCCTGGACAGTGTGTATTCTGTGCTGTGATAACGCGGAACAAGGTTTATTACAAGCTCGACTGCTTATTCCGACACACGGAGAGTCCTGACTCCGCGTGCAGTGCGCAGTCAGCAGCTTGCTCGGGCAGATGAGATGTGCACAGCACAGCGCGCTCTGGGTCACTGAGGGCGAGCAAGGACATGAGCGGAACCAGAGGTCTCCTGTAAGTCTCAGCTTCCCCAGGCTCTGTGTTGCCGCCACGCTGAGGCCCGTTCACCCGCTCCAGGACCTCACTAGCACTCCTGGTTCATTTCCCACCTCTGAGGTCAAAACCCCGCAGTGAAAAAAGCGAAATCCACTTCACTCACGAGGGTGGTCGTGGTGGGGCTTCCCGGAAGAGAGAAGGGGCTTTCCTGGGAAGGGGTTAGGGGTTAGGGTTTAGGGTTTAGGGTTTGGGTTAGGGTCAGCGTCAAGGTTAGGGTTTAGGGTTAGGGTTAGGGTTTAGGGTTTACGGTCAGGGTTAGGGTCAGGGTGAGGATCAGGGTTTAGGGTCAGGGTTTAGGGTCAGATTCAGGGTCAGGGGTTAGGGTTTAGGGTTAGGGTTAGAGGGTTAGGGTTAGGGTTAGGGTTAGGGTTAGGGTTTAGGGTTTAGGGTTAGGGTTAGGTTAGGGTTAGGGTTAGGGTTTAGGGTTAGGGTTAGGGTTAGGGATAAGGGTTAGGGTTAGGGTTAGGGTTAGGGTT